TAGCTGCTATTTATAGACGATCCAGACAGACTGACGCAAATTCGAATCATGATCTAGATATTATAGAAATCTGATACATTCGTACATAAATAAAGGGTGCGGGGAAAAACCTGCAACCAAATTCTTTTTTGTTTTATTAATTTTTTTTTTGTTTCAAATCGCATTTTTATCACTTGCAATATGGTTTTCAATAGTGTCCTAATTTGTCTCTTTTATCATATCAGTTTCTTCTTTCAACCGGTGGTGGTATCTTCAATTTAATATTTAAAATGTTCTAAAAATTTCGGATGCACCCTGTCAGGATGCTAAAATCAAGAAAAATCCGAGCCCTTTGGACTCATTTTCTTTGCTTCCTATTACTTTTTTCCCTTTCAGCGAATCAGGAAGATAAATGAAGCTGAATGCAAGTGCACAAACGGCTGTGGAGGTGCTCAGTTGAAGATGGAACCATATTTTGAAGTATTTAGCGAGTCCCTGAAATTCTAAGAGGCGTCTGTTTAAAATATTCTTCTTTCCTTCCAGGAAACTTTCCAGTTTAAATAACAAATTTGAATAAATGTGACAGCCTATAGAATCTATTCCAAGAATCGCTGACGATATGAATCGTGCATGCGGACGAAATTCCATGGAAAGAGAAGCCATTTGTAACATGTGTGGTCTCACGCGCACGTTATTAGAGTAAGAAGGGGCCTTCCAGGATGGGCCTTCCAGGATGGGCCTTCCAGGAAGGTCCTTTCTTGCTTTGGGTCCTTTCAGCCATCTTGAATTTAATTTTGCATTTGTTCTATTCAGGATGCCTTCCCGGGAAAGAAGCAGGAACGGTCTGGTGTAGCAAGTCTCCTTTGAGGATCCGGCCGGCCTCCTTTGGGAATCCCGCAGCATTTAATTGATGAATTTGAGCAAATGGACGTTGGGTATGAGGACGGAAGATCTCCATGAAAGGGGAATCTCTCGAGAATTCGTGGCCGTGCTGATGGATGGAGAGTGAAAGAAGCGTTGCAATCGGGTTTCTGAGTTTCAGTGAGCGGAAGAGGGGTTAAATGAGTTAAAGGGGTTAAATGAGTTAAAGGGGTTAAATGAGTTAAAGGGCTAATCGTCATGCTTTCACTCAGACTAGGGCTTAAAATATATTTAATTTCCCGTTCAGACAAGGAGACTCGCTCAAAAAAGGCGAATCGTGAGTCTTGGCTTAACAATTCTTGCGCAGACGGTGTCTGCTCGTAGCGGCTTAACGGCTGATAATTTTATGGCAACTTAAGGGCACTTGACTGAATGGAACTGAACGGGGCAATGCGGATTCGCTTTTTTTCTGCTGTTACTCCGGGTTGTCTCATGCTTTGCTGACCACTTCCTCCAAAAATGAGGTCATTTCTTCCTCTTCATTTTTCGCTGCTTTCGTTTCCAATTTTTTTTTTCTCCGTTTCGCATGGAAACCGAGTCCAGCAGGACATTTTTCTCGGCCGACTGCGATGCTCTCGATTTTTTATTTTTTTATTTTTTCTCAACTTGCGATGGTTTTCGAGAAGCGGATTAAACCGGATCGAACTTCGAATGGGTCAAAGCCCAAAGAGTGTTTGGGCCTTAATCCTCGTTCGATTCTCCTCGAGAGTCTTCTTTCCGCTTGGAATCCAACTTGCTTTGCATTCTCTGAAAAAGTATTGAAAGTTGAAAATGTGAAAATTGAGCAGGATGAGCGAAGTTTGCTGCAACGAGCTTCATTTGCGCGGGCCTCAAAGTCGTATATAATTGTATTATTTCTATTTATAGAACTCCATTAAATGATGGTATTCTATGGAGATTCTATGGAAAATTCTATAAGGAATCTTACCAAATTTCTGGAGAATTCTGCGGAGAAGCTGTAAAGAAATTCTCCAGAATTTCCATCCGGCCCGTTTGCATTTTCCTTCGTGTCACTGTCGGGAAAATGCAGAGGATTTATATAGAATTTCATGAACATGTCAGCGTATAAAAAATATATTGAAATCCCATCCCATTGAAATCCTTGGAGAATATCAGTAGATGCAAATAAGGTTCCCAAAGGAAAAGATAAATAATTAAAGGAAGCCCTTTCCACTTCGACTTCAGGTCGTACCAAAGGTCATCAATAATTTTATAGAATGTCGAGAGCCTCTTAGAAGGCTCATATCCGATTAATATACGATGAACTCGTGAAAGCATCGGCATATGACGGCGAAAGGGAAACGGCCCAGGTCGTCGTTGTAATGACTATCAAATAACTAGATCGTGCACCGGAGAGTCGTCCCATCCCAGCGGCGCAGTTTTAAGGGGCTGCGCCGACTGGGATTAGGCTGTGAAACGAAAATGAACTTTGGAATGCGAGAAACTAGCCTCCCAACTGGCCTCCCAACTGGCCTCCCAACTGGCCTCCCAACTGGCCTCCCAACTGGCCTCCCAACTGGCCTCCCAACTGGCCTCCCAACTGGGAGGTCACTGCTGACAATTACAGGGGCTTGTCTTTAGGATTCTTTGCTTTAGGGCAGGGGTGTCAAACTCAAATCGGTCGGCGGGCCGCATTCCTTACCCTGCTGATGCCTGCGGGCCGCACCCATAAAATTTCACTGAAATTTGTGCTGACACTCAATCCATGCGGAAAATTTCAGAAGCAGACGGCGGGCCGGATGAACCACTTCTGCAGGCCGGATCCGGCCCGCGGGCCGTATGTTTGACACCCCTGCTTTAGGGCATGTCTTTAGGCTCCTTTGCCGAAATTAGAAAGCTGCTTGGTCATCCCAATCCGCATTGCCGATATGTATTTATGTAGTTTCCACGAAGGAAAAAGACAGAAGTCTTCGCGATCATTATAGATGAGCTAAATGCGTTTTTTTTTTGTTGAAGTCCCGAAACTCGCAGGGATGTAAGTCGGACCGGATGCACGTCTTCTCCTCAGGCGTTCAGCGGGCCTTCCGCCCTCCTCTGGCACGTTTTCGATTCGAAATTAAACCGCCAACACGGTTCAGCCTTTTTGCTGCAACTATCTGCCGCTCGAAGCAGTGCAGGCGACACGACCGACCTAAACACACCTTTTCGCGCTCCCATTGCTACAACAACTCCCACTCTATGGAAGTCAATAGGCAGTCTATAAGCAGTCAACTTGGGGAAAAAATGTAGTCATTCTAGGGTAATCAAGCTTAAAACTCGTAAATGTATGAATTTTGGTCACCTTGGCTCACTTGGAATTTATTTTGCGACGGTTCGGATTTCTATGCGAAGGATTTAAAATATAAATAAAACATGCATCGTGGAGATGGAAGAAAATAATCGTCACCCGACGATACGACTCGCAGCGGTACAGAGTACCATTTTTTTTATTTTAAAGCTTTCAATTCGGAATGCATTCGTAATTAATTTTACATTCATTTCATTCATACATATTCGGAAATTAATTTTTTAAATGCATACCAATCGAACAAGCTACGTCGTCGCTAAGACTCAAATTTCTCCAGGAAAATTTTTTTTTTTTTTTCCGTGAGACAATCGAAGCAATCAGGTAATGCACCATTCCAATCGGACGGTAGCTTGGAAGAAAAACCTTGAATTGGATCGAGTCTGACAAACTTCAGGCTGAACAAAAGACGAGGAAAAGTAAGAAATTAATTTTTTTTCCGACAAGGACACGAGGAAGGTCAGCCTCGAGGAGCAATATAGATCCTTATTTCCTTATGCTCGAGGAATTTTTTGCTCTTATTTGGTTTCCTTCCCTCGTTGGTCTGGATGAATCAATGAGGAGGCTTGTGATCCGAAGGTATTTAAAGCTTTAAATGGCTTCGGGGGGGGGGATAATCCCGATTATTTCCTCCAAAGAGAAACTGACTTATTTTTGAAGCAGGAAAGAACGAGGAAAATTTCCGCTTGGCATAGCGAAGAGCAATTTTATAGATATTTTGCTGATATTTTCGCACAGATAATTTCATTATTTCGTGCAAGCGTTTCCTTAATGTCGTTTATGTCATTTGAAATGTCATTTGATCGAGGGCGAGCTTTCACGTTTTCTTCCCTAATTCTACAAATGACCGAATCGAGATTTCAACCTGTTCGAGCGCCGTACCGTGTAAAAATAAATGTGGGCTTTCAGGAACGTCCGACATCAGTGAATACCGAAGAATACATTACGTATTCAAAAAAAAAAAGTGTCCTGCGTGCGTTCTTCTATATATTTTCAGGTGTTTCTTCGAGAAAAAGTCTTTCTTACAGTAGCTGTACTACCAAAGGTAGTACGATGACAAGGGACTGGTACTCCGGGACCCCAGCAGAATATCCATCGAAAAAGAGATTATGTTCACCGGTACCTCAAGCGGTACGTTCCCGGGAAACCGAACCCTGTAGGCCTGAAACATTAGGTCCCGGAATCCACGAGTTCTCAGCTTTGTGGTTTGTATGGGGGAAGAAAACACTGGAAGAGAATCTCCTTTCCCAGCAGCCGTAGATCAAGGACACCGGGACCATGATAGTCACGAAAGAGGCCAAGGTGAGGAGGAAGAATGAGTTGCGTGTCAGCCGACAGCACCTCCATGGGAGGTGTTCACCTCCACGACCCGCCTCATCGAAATTGAATTCTTTTTTTTTCGCTTCCAAGAAGCTTCTTGCTCAGGTGGGAGTCCCAGCATCCAGAATTCCAGACAAGCTAATGAGGCAAATATTAATGGAAAATATTTCAAATCGCGAATATGAAAGAAACTCACTCATTCGGATGGCAGCATTATATTTCCCCGAAGACGAGCTGCAATCAAAATTACATTCGCTCCACTTGATCAGGTGGCGAGGAAATCTCGGATGAGAGACGACGTTTCCCATCTTCCCACGCCGTATCACACAGATGAAAGCTTTTAAATTCTTCTTTGCACGGGTGTCTGATCTCGAGCCAATATATACCAGCTGATCCATGAAAAGATTTTACTCTCTGTTGCCCTGATGGATTTTTTCATCGTCATTCTTCGAGCGAAGACTTTGGGTCCTATGCCAAAATGCGTGAGTAAGAAGATTCCGCTGCCGATTCACAATTTATTCATATATGGGTGCTATTCATAGATGCGAGGTGGAGGCGAGAGCGGAGAGCTTGGATTGCCCGGCCGCGCGGTAGGGCGGGGGGTCCTTCGTGCCGTGGAGGATGAGGCTCACGTCCCTCCATTCCCCGGGGTCCATCGACTCTCGTTCCTGGAAGGAATGTTTTGCCTTGCGTTACTGGAGGCACACAAGACGGTAATTGAAATGGTACATGATGGGCTCTCAGAAATCCCGGTTTGCGATCGATGAACGTTTCTCGCATCGAAACTTCGCGAAAGGCGGAAAATTCAATCTTGCGGGTGATTTCCATGCATGCGGGCGAGCGCTGGCCTTAAATATCTATCGCATTGCCGACGGAGGAGATGCATTATGCAGAAAGGATCAGGGGAAAGAGTTTCGGGATTACATTGGGGTCATTTGCCTTGCAGATGCGAGATCCGAAGCGTGAGCAGCCTTTTTTCGTGCCTCTTTTTGCGAAGAGCTGCCAAACCCTTCTGTCTCGATGCCTCCTGTCTCGTTTTCCTCCTGTTCCATTGTTCCTTTGGTTTCAGCACTTTTATTTCATTTATCTCAGGCTACTTCGCGTCGGGATCGGCTTTGAGAGTCGAGAGTGAACATTTATTTTAAATGCTACGTAAGGACGAGATTAGGATTCCCAATGTCGCGGAATTGGCATTAATTCATGTTTGAAATTAATAAAGGAATTAGAATTATCTCATGTGGCAGGTTCTCCTTCACATAAATTTGGTTTTTGGACTTTTCTCTGAATTTTTTTGTACGTTCGTTAAACGAACAGGCTATTTTCCATGGAGAAAGCCATAAATACTCGTCCGTGAAAAAAATTCCTCAGCGTTCGAAAAGGAGCAATGAACTTTATGAAATGATATTTATGAAATGATATTTATGAAATGATATTTTTGAAATGATATTTATGAAATGATATTTTTGAAATGATATTGTTGAAATGATATTGTTGAAATGACATTTTTGAAATGATATTTTTGAAATGATATTGTTGAAATGACATTTTTATAGACGGCCAACAAGTGGAGGAGCGCATTGCCGCGATCGAGCGGAACGAGGGGGAAAAGAAAAATCCCCCGGGGGACTCCATGATTCATTGAGGCACAGAGCTCGCGATCCTCTTGAGAGCCATCGCGGGGGAATCAAGCCGAGCCGGATCCCCTTGCAATCGTCTCATCCCCGTTCCCATCTAGCTTAATGGAGACGATCCCGAGGTGGAAACGTGAACTCGACCGAAGGGGGGGGGGGGTTAGGAATCCGGGCTGTGGGTGGAGAATCGGGGAACGGAAGCGGGGACGCGATGGAATAACGGTAAATTGATTGTACGGTAGCGAAAAATTAAATGTCCGGTAACGGCAATTTAAATTTCCAGCAATGGTAATTTAAATGTCCGGGAACGGTCAGTTAAATTTGAAGTTAAATGAAAGCCTTTCCTTTTTTTGTACTCCTATGGCCAGGGACTCAAAACCCGACCGGCTTCTATTAATATTTTTAAGACGATCACCCGTGCGACCGAATCGGGAAGGCCTCACCGTGTCGTCGAGGAAGAAGCGCCAGGTCCCGGCCGGGTCCTCGCCCCAGAAGTGAACCGACATGAATTTCCAGTCGCGGAATCCCGCCTTCGACTTGTCCTTCGGGCGGGGGCTCAGCACCTCGGACTCGCTGCCTGCAGCGAGAAAAGAGTCGGTCAGGGTCGGCCAGGGTCGGTCAGGGTCGGCGCGTCCCGAAACGATCGAAAGCGAGGAATCGGTATTGACCTCGAGGCGAAGTGAGGCCGAGCCGGAGCGCGCCTCGCCGCGGATATCGAACGGTGAGGCGGAGCTCCACGTGCTCCAGGAAGCGGATCTCCCGGTCCGTGCCGTGGCAGCCGTCCGTCTCCAGGCTCGCGTTCGCGCCCCGCGATCCGTTCGTGGCGAACGGCCTGTGAACGAAAGATGGAATGTGGCAATTTTATTATTTAATGTAATTTAATTGTTGAATGTGATTAGACGGTTCCGGATCAGAGGCTGGGCTCACTTTTGCGCATTATTATTATTGTCATCATTACTATTATCACCATTTTGCTACTATTATTATTATTAGGGCTGTGCCGATTATCGCGATATCGTTCGATGGGTGTCTTGTCGGCGATATGTCTGCATATCGCAATATGTAAATTTTGGAAATAATTTTATTTTTACTCCTCTATTGTCACGGGAGAGGGGAGCAAAGCACACGAATAACGGCATAGGACGAAGTAAGGATAGACCGTCGGCCTTGACAAAAACCGATGAGATGAGGGAGGGAGTTAGTGGATAATCTGAAGACTGCAATCCTCCCCGATGCTTTCTTTTCCTGGAAAATTTCCTTGAGGCGAAATGACGGAAACCAGCACTCGGATTCAGTCAGCCCCCGAGTATGATGAAACCACGGCCATTTTTTTGTGGATGGAAAAGAACTGAAAAGGCATACCTCATGGAAAACCTATAATGCGGAATGCGTTTAGAATTTATCCTCGCAACGAATGCAATACCCATCCGGAATATGCAAAAGTAGCTGCCCTGAAAGGAAGAAAAATTCCAGTTTCTGGGAATAGAATCTCTCTCGCATCTTGCGATCTCAATTTGATTGTGGCGATGATCGAGTCCCGCCGCTAAAAAGACCACTCCATAATTCTTTGCAACTTCTCCTGTCTGGGACGAAGTGGAAGCCCAGTTCCGAGGAAAATCGGTTCCCGGTATGTCAGGCTTTAAAAACGCTTGACCTTTCCTTTCCTTATACCTTTCCTTTAAAGAAAACCGGAAGACCTTGAAAACCATTCATGGGCTCATGAAACTTCACGGTTGCATTTCGAATCTGGCAATCCCCCATCGAGTCCATCACGGTCTCCAACAAGGCAATTATCACTTTCCTAACCCTCACGGACGGCTACGAACCTGCAGAAGCAGAGCCGCAGGACGGAATCAATGACATCGATTTCGTTCGATCTTACATCAATAAAGCGGCGAAATGGAGATCGATGGCATGCTTTGCAACAGGGATCGTCGATATGTTCTCTCTCCTAGCTTTGAACAACGAACCACCGTGATGTCATATATTGAAGATCACGTCAGAACCATTACAATAAATAAAATATATAATATAAAATATATTGATATAAAATACAGGTTTTGTCCTGAAATAAATGCGTCATTAATACCCCCCCCCCGATTGAACCCTGGCGATATCGCGATATCGGATGATATATAGGTCTGCGATATCGATACTTTAAAAATCAATATCGCCCAGCCCTAATTATTATTAGGGCTATTATTTACGAGGAGCGGTACGAAAGTAATGCACAATAATTTCTTCTCTATAACTTTCCAATAAAAAAAATTCATTAATATTTGCAGGGAAAATGACAACACCTTACTGCGTGCATGCAGAAAATTTTCCACATGGTCTCCACTTCTATGCAAAAAAAATTAATAATGTGCATTACTTTCTTACCACACCTTGTATATAGAACTAATATACCAAACCGGCAAAATAAGCAGAAGCCTTGCGTACCCCCCACTCCACGCCCGCTCGCAAGTGGACTTGGGCGGCACCGGGGCCCACCGCCTCGCCGCTTGGACCATCCGGTGGGCCCCGAGGAGTCCGAAGCCAAATCGACTGCTGTACGGGAAGCCGGCGGCGTTCACGCTCCAGCCGGCGTTTCTCTCCAGCGCCAGGGGGTCCGCCGTCCACACGACCACGTGCTGCATGTCTCGCCACGTCAGCTCGGGACTGAGGAACATTTTAATCGTGCTGTTAATGATCACACAAAATGATCACACGAAATGATCACACGAAATGATCACACGAAATGATCACACGAAATGATCACACGAAATGATCACACGAAATGATCACACGAAATGATCACACGAAATGATCACACGAAATGATACGAATTTCGATTAAAGTTGGACGGATCGATCGTTACTTTGGCGTGCCAACGATGCCTGACGCTGTCTCGATGGATTGCTGCTTTCAGAAAAAAAATATCCAACTAAATTTGGGAGAAAGGTATTTCTGACAATCAGGGCAGGGGTCAGGGGTCAGGAACAAGTTTTTGCGAATGAATATTTCACTGCACTCAATTAAAATAAAAATTTTCTCCTCGCTTTCCGGCGAGCAGAGAGAGAACACGGATGCGCCAAAAAATGCGACAAGAATGCGACGGAACTTGGCCTGGAGCGTGAGAGCGACGAGGCCGGCAGCCAGCGGTGCGGCGGCGGAGGTCCCGGTGTGCTTGAGGGTGCAGGCGTTCCCCACGTCGGTCGTCGCCTGTCGGCAAGGAGAACGAAGGTCGGCACTCGGTCTTTCGGGATGTCGGCCAGAGTATCTTTTTAAAATTCGTTGGCTGTCGGAGGAGGGAGAGCTAAGCCCTGCACTTTGTGCTCGCTCTTTTAGTCGGAGAATTTCTGCAGAAATCAGCAAATCACTTTCGTGTGATTTATTGTTGTTACAGCGACAGCATTTCGTCCGTCCAAACGGAATTATAATAAAATACCGCTCTCATGTTCTATCTTCTTGCTTTCCGACTTCAACAACTAGGCGACTCCCTCCCTAGTCCGCCCAGACGTGCACGTCCAATCAGATCCCTCGCATACAATGAAGTTACTCCATTCAAGAAGGGATGCGTGAATGAACCAACCCCGCGCCCCCGAAACATCCACTCGGATCTCTCGCTAGCAGTGACGTCACTCCATTCAGAAAGACCTCCACTCGGACTCTACGCCCGCAGTGACGTCACTCCATTCAGGAAGACCTCCACTCGGACCCTACGCCCGCAGTGACGTCACTCCATTCAGGAAAGGATGCGTGAATGAACCGCCCTTACCACAGTCTGGTCGGTGTAGGCTCCGGCGGAGTAAGTGACGGCCACGGTGGAGGCGCATTTCTCGCCGTAGAACGGGAAGGAGCCGTTCTCCGAGGCGCTTCCCACGCTCAGGGTGTAGATGGAGCTGGCGTAGCCGTCGCAGTTGCAGTTGTCGCCGTTGGTCCCGCCGTTCCCGGACGCCCAGACGTATATGCTGCCCCGGCCTCCCCGTCCCTGGAAAAACCGTGGGAAAAAAAGACTCGTTAGTTCCTCATTTTAGTTCTCTTCCTCCTCCCGTTCGGACCCTTCCGGTTTCGAATAAAAAAAAAAGAATTGTCACGGGAAACCGTCGCTTTTTTCCTCTTAACTTCCTAAGGACAGATAAAGATGTGGCCACTTTTCCTCTTCGAGGCGAATGGGCCGACGGACAGCAACGGTCGCATCCCATCCATCTACTTCGTGTGGGTCGGCAAGGATAAAAAAAGGCTTTAAGCGATCAATGGAAGTCTCTGGATCGTGTGGACAACAGGGGGATCATGCGGACGACAGGGCATCACTTGGACGACAGGGATATCATTTGGGCGACAGGGGGATCATGTGGTGGACAGGTCGGTTGGTCGATAGCGTCCCTCACACTTTCATGCGTGTTTCATGAAAAGAAACATTATAAATGGCTTTTGTTTTACCGCAACTCCCGAATTCACTCTCTCGCCTTGGAAATTCCCTTCTCCAGGGCCTTGAGGGCCAGAGTCCCAGGGCCTTCCACGGTGACGCCGTCGTCGGTCGGACCCCAAGAGTTGCTGAAGACGTCCACTTTCTCCACGTTGAAGCCCAGGGCGATCCCTTCCGTCAGATCGCTGATCACGCCGTCAAGCAGCCGGATTCCTGCAATTCGCAATTATTTATATGGGATGCTGTAAGGACGTTATCGTGGGAGGGTTGGAGGTTCTTCAAGTCCATTAGCCAACGCAATTAAAAAAATTATATTTAAAAAAATTATATTAATTTTTATGTTGTGCTGAGATTTTTCAGGGGTCGCGGAGGGGAGAGGAACTGATGAATGCAATTCAGGAATTATGTCAAATTTGTCACAGAAAATGGCAGAAGAGGGGGTTTAAAAAGGACCTTTAAATGCATTAGATGCATCATCATTAAGACGCATAATAATATGTGTATATTTTTTAATCGATAAACGGATTCGGGACGCACCCCCGATGCTGGCGTCGTAAGCGACGCCAACGCCGCATTTGAAGTTGTTGGCGGACATGGCGATCTCGCCGGCGCATCGGGTCCCGTGCCAATTGGTCACTTCCCCCCCGTAGCGGGGGGTGGGGTCGTCGTCGCCGTCGACGCAGTCGTGGCTGATCTCCGGGTCCTGCGGAGGAGAGGTGGATGAGCCTCTTCAAGCGAGGGGTGCTCCGTCACTGCCAGGAACGACTGGCTCGTTACTGCTAGCTCGTTACTATAAGCGTTTCTTACAAGTTTTTATTTCTTTATTTTTATTTCAATCGATGGCAAAGAACGCGATCGTGCCATTTTTTCGATCGTGCCTTATGATTTTTCCTCGCTAGTCTGTCCAGTGTCGAAACAATCTCGGTATATGATGCGAACGGAAGCACTTCAATTTCCTTCATTTAAGTCAAGTTTAAGTCACTTACCGTAAAATGAAGCAGATCGAGCAAATTGCAGCACGAAATGGAACCAAAAAAACCTGCAAACTGCATCCTGCGTCGCCCGATTAAAAAAAAACAATCTCGTCACTCTGCGGGAGCGTTCATAAGAATGGCCCAGTAAAGTGCAGACCGAATAGTTGCCAAAAATGTGCGAAATAGAGGTCGAAGGTTGTCGGATTTTTCTTTTCATACTGCCTCTTGCCCAGAAGTGCGAAAGCGGTTATTTTTCCTAGTGCGAGTGACGTCTTCACCTCCGTTTATCGCGACGATGATAAATGCTGACGATAACTTATCAACATTTATCTAATTGATTAAATATATTAGTAAACTATTATATATATTAATAAGCGTTTATACTTCACGACAGGTATTGATAAATTATGATAAATTATGATAAATGTTGATCAAAGATGATTTTAAAAAATTACTGACGACAAAAAATAATCGGGTAAGTCGCCCTTGATGAACCACGCCCAAATTCAGCCGAGATGAGGGCGACTCCACCCAGCGGCTTCTTCTGCAGTCAGATTGCTCGTGTCACAAATTGAGTTGAAAAATGGGGGTTCCTCTCGAGGAGGGACACCTGTTGAGAAGGGGGGCGATGAGAAGCACCTGTTGACATGGAATTCCTTCGCGATTATTTTCTCTCATTTGGGAGAGGAAACGGGGAAATTGGGAATTGCTCATTCCCAAGTAAAAGAAAATTATGCAGTCTGATCGCGTTTCATTTCGGTTGATGGAAGGTATAAATCACGAAATGTGATTTTGTTTTGCACTCGGGCGTTTCGTCTTCTGGAAGAGATTCCGTGGAGATGCAATTTCCAATTGCAATACTTGGAATTGTAATCAATATTAATCTTGACTGGCGTGAACCATTACGATATATGAGGGCCTCACTCGCACTATCGAGTTTTAATTTTGTCATTTTTCATTTAAATAATCATTCATAAGCGATGTGGGAGGGGGGACGAAGAATTTGAAAGCGTTTGAGCAGTGGCTTGGAGACGCCCTCCGACCGAGCTTGCCGAAGAAGGCGGCCATCGAAGGCGGCCAACGCGATGGACCTGTCACCCATTCACACGAGAGTAATCCGCCGACAACGTCAATCAAAAGCGCGATGATAATGGAGAAGCACGTCATTCCCAGATGCGAGGAAGCACATCATTCCCGCAATGCAAGAGAAGCCTGTCCGACCGACATCGAAGACATCGAATCAGCTTCGCGACGCGACGCGACGGAACGCGACGCGAACGACGAAAAAGAAATCGACGGGAAGCCGATGCCTTTCATCCACGAACCAATCCACCATCAAGCCACGCAAACTTCAATCGAATTCTAAAACTGAAATGGATTTTCAAGTGCTTCAGAAATTCGGAAAACAAATATCTCTTTTTTGGATTTACAATTGATGAAATTAACTAATTAAACTTGCTTGGAGACGCATGATGCTTCCAATAACGATAATAATATGATAATGCAATAATATGGTAATGTGATAATGCGCGGTTAACTTAATTTCCATGCGAAATCATTCATTCATTTCATTTTTAATTCAACTTTTTTTAAATCAGGAGGAATTTTATTTTTAAACACGGGAATCATCGGCCGCGAAGGAGAAGAAAGAAATCCAGCAACCCTGAAATCGCAACACTGTCAACTATGACCTTCAACCAGGTGATGAAAGAGGAAAATCCAATCACCGATCCGTCGTTGACATGACCGATGACGTTAGCACGGCTGATGACGTCAATTTTCAATCAGAGGGAAGTGACCCCCTCCCAGGAGGTCGGGTCGATGACGTCACAAGATCCCCCGGGGGGCGGGGGGAGAGAGAGCGACCATGCCATCAAGAGGATCCCTAAATATCGGCTTTCCTTCGACCCAAGGGACGACTTAAAATTTTTTGTGAATTTAGTTATTTTTAATTTTGTATTTTAACAGATTAATTATTGCTTTAGATAGCTGTCGGCATCTTTCATTTTTTTCGTTTTCTCCAGGACTGGGCCGTTTCAGGAGTACTTAAAAGTACTTCTAGGGAAATAGTGAATTAATCTGCAAGAATGAAGTTGGTATTTTTTCCCGTTGCATCTCAAGCGTGCAGTACGAATAAGTACCGAAAGCGATGAAACGTACAGTACTTTCTGCAAAAAGAAACTGCGAAATCGCTTAAAACAGCTGAAATGAATTCGTACGAGTTTCCGCCGCGAATCGAACTCGACTAGACCGGCTCGATCGACCAGACCGGCTCGATCGACCAGACCGGCTCGATCGACCAGATGACTCGCACGTGGCAAGCACGTGGTCGAGACGGCGCGGGTAGCGCTGCCGCGCCATCTGCAATGGCTGGCTTCGTTGAGAGAGTTCGGACTTGGGACGCGAGAGGGCAAGAAGAGCGCAAGGAGCGGCTCCGCTCCATGCGATCGAGAAAGGCCAAGAAATGGAAACAGAGCAAGAAGTACTTTCAATTACGCCTTCACCGCGCAGAAAGAAGATTAATGAAAAATTACAGAATGAATAGGACTGACGGACACGACAGATGGATCCCTAGCGGAGCATCTGATTAGGTAATTCTTCTAGGTACAGTGAAACCTGTGGATTCGGCCACCATGATATTACGGCCACCTCCTGTTTATGGCCAGAAGTGATCAGTCCCAATTATTAGCTACATAGACTCAATGCCAAAATGACCTGTTTTTTCCGGCCACCTGTCTAACGAGGCCAGCGGCCAAAGATTTTTAGACCTACTTTTTAATCCGGCCAGAAAGCAGGAAGGAATGAAGATCGCAGGTTTATTACTTTCCTCTTCCTTTATTTCCTTGCCTTTCTTCCCTCTTTTCCTCCCTTTCGCCTCCCCTATCGCTGAATATCCCAAGGTCACCTCCCCGGAGTCTCGATGGTGCGAGAACGATGAAGGGCGTCGACCTGCCGCAAGCCCTTCCCTGCATCCCGCGTTCCTAAAAGGTCGTCGAGCGCTGCGGCGAGGCTGAAGTGCTTCTCGGCCGAGGCGGGGATGCCCCGGGTCAGTCGACGCTCGAAGCGTCTCGCCAGGCGTGAGTGCGCTTAACGCGAAATGCGGGCGTGTCGGACGAACATTCGGGACTTTCTCACGCTGAAATTATGGTCTCGATTTTGTCGGTGTACATAGCATAATTAAAACCTCACAAAATACAGTACCTTTGTAGCATACAGCGAGCTTAATTTTCTGGAAAACTGACTAGTAAATTTAACTGAACCGGCTCCTTAAAATAATCATCTCAAAATACTCAAGAAGAAAGCCCAAGTCAGCTGCTGAAGGACTTAATCGTCAAAACTGCTGGTGGTATCGGAAAGAGAACACTGCAGAAAGTTATGCAAAAACTTTTTTGAGCGTTTGTGTATAATTTTGATAAAGGCATTTGAACAACTTTTGCTGGCAGGACGAAAACGTTGAGAGTTTCCAGCTAGTTTCTACCTGCAATAATTAAATTAGGAGTTTAGAAACGGTTAGTATTTAATTCATTGCCAAATAATATTGACTGTCATGAAGAACAAATGATTTCATCGCCAGACCTAGTGAATCTCGCACCAAATTCTCTCAGTATTTTCCCCATGTGCCATGAAACGACCACCAAATTTAATTGACTTTGGACCAAATCATTGGTACATTTCATGTGTCAAAATATGTGAATTTTTATTTGGGCAGGCCTGGAGGGCAGAACACACTGACCATCCCAGCTGCGAATACTTAACAAATTTCTGGTAAATAAATTCCGAGCGAATGCTTGCCAGTCTTGATCCAAAAAGGGCATGTGCAAAATTTGGAGCTCTCACAACTCAGAGGGAGAGCCTTGTTCTCAAGTCCTCCTAATGCTCCAGTTCTCTGATGAGATACTCTTGTGCGCTTTTCCGAACCTCTTCCTTTGAGGCGTTGCCGTCACTGCAGGCCATGAAGGCGTCTCACTTTGTTTCGATGAACTCAAACCCTCTAGTTGCCTTGGCACCTCTAATGCATTGGGCACACAAGCTGGAAGGCTGCACCGTGCACAACTCCCACGTATGTAAATAGGTTGCAAATGCTAAAAATGTCATAAGTTTGATGAGAGTATTTTTTTTTAGTACGGGATAATGCAAATTTGGTGATTCAAGCACCTGTGATGGTGCAATCATATTTGGTGAAATCAAAACTTTTTGGTGACTCCAATTTGGTGAAAATTGTGATTTGGTGATGGAGTCGATATTTTTGCGAGCTGAAAATATTTGGTGACAATTTCGTTATTATTGCACTGTCTCATCACAATATTTGGTGGGTGATTAAATATCTTTCTTTAAGAAATGCTTCCCTTTCTCATGGCATGTACAATGGCCGATCATGGTCTCATTACCCAACGTTGTATGAACGTTAATTTCGAACCTTCCCCCTGATGTAGTGGCATTGAATCTAACATCGTCAATATTTCAATGTCGCTTATTGGAATGCTCACTCCCACCCAAGTAGCGCCCCAACATTGGGTCAATAATGGCGGCAGAGGATTTTTTTTCTAAAGGAACTAATTTTGGTACTTTCCAGGGAACGGACCTTCCTTTCCTGTTCTGCGAAGTACTCAGAATCTCCTTTCCTCTCCTTTCTGCTCCCAGAGATGAGAAAATGAAGACTAGGGCCAAGGTTCAAAATCGAGTTTTCAGAAACTCCTTTCACGAATTATTTTTAAAAAATTTTTTATTA